AGGTGGACATTGATATTAAGATACGAGCTTGCAAAGGAACCTGTGATAGAAGTTTTGATTACCAGGTGGACAAAGAAAGCTATGACAATATCCAGAAGCAGCTTACCCAAGCCAACTCCATCAACTTGCACCCAGAGCTTCAAACAACCACCTTGAGCACGCTGAAAATGAGGCCAATTAAGGACTCAAATGTTCCTGAGCATTTTAAGCATAAGCCTCTGCCAGAAATGCAAGCTCTGAATATAATTAATAACATCAAGCAGATGCAAGTGGTATTAGAAAGATCAGAAACAGACACAAAGTCCTCCCGAGGCGACAGCGTGTATCTCGCGGCAGAATCAAGGGGGGATGGACCTTCACACACCAGCAAATTAGTTACTCCTACTCACGGGAGAGAAACTATTAGTCTGGGAGACAAAACCTCCTCCACTGTCCGTAGATGCACCAAAACTACCACCAAAAGAGTTGTCACTGGCCCCGATGGCCCTAGAGAAGAAGTAGTTGAAAAAACAGTTTCTTCTGATGGCTCAGACTGCTCCTATTTGCAAGGGGCAGGAAATGTTAGAGAGGAAGGGAGCATGTACCATGTTGGTGGGACAGATGGCTTCCACAAGCTAGAGAGGTTATTCCCTGAGCTAGAGTCCTTTTTTACTCCTGACTCTGCATCCACTGCTAGCAAGCACTTTGGTGGATCAAGCAGCATTTCATCTAGCAGCCACGCAACTGGTACAGGCAGTAGCCACTTAGGTACTGGAGTATCCAGTCATTCGGGGACTTATGGGGAGAAAGGCAAATTTACAGACTTAGGAGAGGAGGAAGAAGATGACTTTGGAGGACTTCACCTTCAGCCATCTGGATTGCCATCTGGCAGCGCAAGTCACTCCAAGACTGTAGTGACCAGCGCCTCTTCTAGTTTCAACAAGGGAGGCTCCACTTTTGAAACCAAATCCCTAAAGACCCGTGAAATAACTGAGGAGCTAGGTGGGGTGCAACATGATCAGAGTGCAGAGGATACCCCAGACTTTCAGGCACGCAGCATCAGACCATCAGGAAAGAAGCAAAGGAGAGCCAGCACTGGGAAAGGTACACAGGCATCACAGAAGTAGTTAATTGAGGTAGTGGAGCCAAACTCCATCAATAACCAAACTGACACATTGGTTTCAGATACCGTAGTAAAACAGTGTGATGTTAAAATGTGAACACTGTGTCCATTTATTGCCATCTTGGAAACAAAAAGGAAAATATTTCATTGATACGCGGGTATTACATAGACAATTCACAATTTAAGATGTATGTAGTTTTCTTCTCTGAATCCTTTTTAATGTTGCCTGTCCCTATACCTAGTGTATTTCAAGACATGTTTAACAATTTTCCTCAGAACTATTGGTACTTGGATTCCTCTGAACCTTTTATTAAATTTTGCTGATAACTCCTGTCAAACCAGATCAACTTTTTTTTTTAGACTGTGATGATATCCGCCAGAAACACACTTTTGGTGCCAAAAGTGGCATTTTCAAAATCAAGCCAGCGGGATCGAATAAGGTTTTGTCAGTTTATTGCGACCAAGAGACAACTTTGGGAGGATGGCTATTGATCCAACAGAGAATGGATGGATCAGTGAATTTTAACCGGACCTGGCAAGACTACAAGAGAGGTTTCGGCAGCGTGGATGGCAAAGGGCAAGGAGAGTTCTGGCTGGGCAATGAAAACATACACTTGCTGACTCAAAACGACACTCTCCTTCGGGTAGAGTTAGAGGACTGGGATGGAAATGCTGAGTATGCAGAGTATATCATACAGGTAGGATCTGAAGCAGAAGGGTACGCCCTTGCCGTGTCCTCTTATGAGGGGACTGCTGGGGATGCGCTGATAGAGGGCTGGCTGGAAGATGGCACTGAATACACATCCCATGCCCAGATGCGGTTTAGCACCTTCGACCGGGACCAGGACCGCTGGGAGGAGAGCTGTGCAGAGATGTACGGGGGCGGCTGGTGGTACAACAGCTGCCAGGCAGCCAACCTCAATGGCATTTACTACCTGGGGGGCCACTATGACCCCAGGTACAACGTTCCTTATGAGATCGAAAATGGTGTGGTCTGGCTGCCATTTAGAGCCTCTGACTATTCCCTCAAAATTGTTAGAATGAAAATCAGGCCCATTCAAACCATGTAGAAAGACAGGCTTTTAATGTATGTTACAATTTTATGTTGAAAAGATTTTTTTATATGTGAATGTGCATGATGTACCTTTACTCTGTGAATTTGAAGGCAACTGGGCACATCTGTGGCTTTAAAAATAAACACTGATTAATAATCAACAAAACAGTTCTTTCATCTTATTTGCAATTTCTAAAACTTTTCAGGGAAACATTGATTTTAAACCCCTTTTTATATGAACTTTGTCTCTGCCTTTCACAAGAGTAGAATCACAGAATAGTTACAGCTGGAAAGGACCTTAAGATCACCTAGTTCCAAACCCCCAGCAATGGGCAGGGACACCTCATCCTAGAGAATGCCATCCAGAGTTCTGTCTTTGACAGGTCACACCTAAGCTGGAGCTAAAAATATTTATAATTTGAATTATTTATTTTGTTTAAAAGTGTTAAAGAAATAAGATAATTTAGAAGTATGTTCACCACGAAGTCCTGCCTCCGCTAGCATCAACCATGAAAGTCTGATCAAGTTCAACAGTCATGCTTCTGGGTGTCCGTTTTGTCCATTTCCATTTTGAGGGCAGCATAACAGTATCAGAGGAGTCAGTTCTCAGGCAGAGCCACAGATGGTTTGGGTTCTTGCTTTTGTCACAGACCTAACATGGAGTACACTTTGATAAATGGTGCATCCATTTTAGGACTAACTTTTCAGGATCTCCTAAGGTGTGGTTTTACAAATATGGACATAGACCTTCCATCCCTTTGATGAATTCTAGGCAGATTGCCACGCATACTGTAGCATCAAAATAAGACAGATCATGATAAATCACCAAAATACAACTTCTCAGAACAGGCAATTATTTTCTAGTGACCACTAAAAGGTTATGACTATAACCAGCACAAGCAAGATATGCATCATCCGGATGGCAGTAGTATGTAGCCTGTAAACCAAGTATCTTTCCTTGGTTTAGAATGTTCCTTGGCACATGTGTCAAGCAAGGATTCTTCTACAGGTAAGGTGTTTAAATCAGCAACTTACTGAGAGTGTATGGTAAGGTTTTTTTAGCAAAAAGCTGGTGCATGGAAAAACAATTATATCAGTTACACAACTGCACAAGAACATGCTGACATAAAATTATACAAGTACTTACTCTGTTTAATATTTCTGTGCTTCTGTTGAGAAACAAGCATGAGCAAACTTTCTTGCCTCCAACCTCATTGGCCAGCGTGTTTCATACTATTTAATAGTATCACTAAATATTGGCAAAATAGCTCACTTTGAGCCTTTTCCCAGTGCTTCTCAAACACAGCCACTGTCTAACCTTTTTGGAGAGTCTGCTGAAGACCAAAGACATCTTTACAGCCAAGTGCAGAGAAGCATCCGTACTGTTGGAAAATGGGCTTCTGCTTTACACCTTGTTTTCTTGTTCCCTAGCCTCAGTGGAAGCCTGCCTGTGGGAATGCTGCACATTTGCACTCATGTATTTAGATGATGCCATTATATCTCCTCCTTGCCCTCCCAAACTCCATAGATTAACACAAGAGGTTACAGATGGGATCCATCTACTGCTAGCTATCTGGGTTGCTTCCTCTATGGAGGAAGGCAGTCCCCTCTGAAAGTTGTTCAATCCTGCCTACCAGGCTTGGGAAGTCCTGTCTTTGGGACAACCTCTGCTTCTGGCTACATAGGGAAGCACAGACTACCAACTTCAGTGAAACACATAATCTCCCCTATGACTGGAGTCACTAATTGCTCTAGTCCCACAAAAGTGATTGCATGAAAAACATATCAGCCAGGTCTTCTATTGCTGTATTTTATTCTGTGATAAAAGTAAGTTTAATATCTTCATCAACAACATAGACAGTAGGATTGACTGCATTGTCAGCAAGTTTGCAGATCACACCAAGCTAAGGTTGGTGCAGTTGACACACCCAAGGGACAGGAAGATATCCAGCAGGACTTGGACAGGCTCGAGAGGTGGGCCCATGCGAACCTCATGAAGTTCAACAGGGCCACGTGCTGGGTCCTGAACCTGGGTAGGGGCAACTCCCAGTATCAATACAGGCTGGGGGATAAAGAGATTGAGAGCATCCCTGAGGAAAAGGCCCTGGGGGTGCTGGTGGATGAAAGATTGGGTATGAGCTGGCAACATGTGCCTGCAGCCCTGGAGGCCAATCCTAAGGAGTGTGGCCAGAAGGTCAAGAGAGATAGTTCTGCCCCTCTACTCTGCTTTGGTGAGACCTTGCCTGGAGTACTGCATCCAGCTCTGGAGTCCTCAGTCTAGGAAAGACATGGACCTGTTGGAGAGGGTACAGAGGAGGGCCACAAAAATGATCAGAGATATGGAACAGCTCTCCTTTAAGGAACATCTGAGCAGGGCTTCTTGTGATAGAACAATGAGCAATGTTTTTAAACTAAAAGAGAGGAGATTCAGGCTGGATGTGACAAAAAAAAAATTTACACAGAGGGTGGTAAAGCACTGGCACACGTTGTCCAGGGAGATGGTGGATGTACCACCCCTGAGGACATTCAAGGCCAGGCTGGAGGTGGCTTCTGGGCAACCTGATCTAGTTGAAGATGACCCTGCTCACTGGAAAGGGCTTGGACTAGATGACCTTTGAAGGTCCCTTCCAACCCAAACTATTCTATGATTGTATGATTCTATGGTGTGGGATGGTGGAAGAGATATTGAGAGGCACAGTATGTGAGCCAGATCCCAGGAAAGGGCATATTTTATCCAGCATACAGGGTTTGAACTAAGTGACTGGTGACCTACCCATTTGTTAGATAGTGTCTTTTCACTTTATTCCTTCTCAACTTTTTACACAGGTAGTTGCCATTATAATATAAAAGAAAATTACTGTCCCTTATTTAGTGGAATGTGTTCGCTCCTTCCCAGATAATTCATAAATATGTAGGAATCATGTGAACAAAACTTTAGTTTTAAGGCTTTATTTAGTTTTCAGAAAACAGAATAATCCTCTCCCTCTTCAAATGTGGTATAGAAGTCCGTTGTGAAACAAGTCGGGATTGTTTTTTTTTTATCAGTGCTATTCTATACTAGCTACCACTGTCTTGTGAACAAGCAAAAAATGGAACAAAATACACTTGAGTTATTTTCATCAGTCAGATTTTGATTTACAGTTGACATTGCTTTTCACTTTAGGTCACAATATGCTCATACATACATATTTGGCTCTCATACGTAAAAACAAGCCTGAATACCATGCCTAAAAAGATAACCAAGTACAAATATTAAAAGAAAATCCCTGATTCTGTACATTTTGATAACAGTTAATGTGGAAAGTATGGCCTGATTTTCATGCTCATCTTCTTCATTGAATACCATGACCCTTTCCAATTCATCCATACAACACCATCATCTGTACCGTGTTTTGCCATATCCCAGCTGTAGGCCCCTCCCCAGTAGTATCTACCATTGGGGTTGGCTGAGTGGCAGCGGTTGTACCACCATCCACCACCATCTTCTTTGGAGCACTGTTTTCTTGGATCTGTAGTTAACCTGATGAAGGGAAGAATGACGAACTGTAAGCAAACAGATCAACAGAGTACATACACCTGCGACTGTACTGAAATTTTCAAACCGTAATAAATATGTAGTGACAGGACAAGGGGAATGGCTTTAAGATGACAGAGGGGAGATTTAGATTAGATATTAGGAAAAAAATTTTCACTATGAGGGTGATGAGACACTGGCACAGGTTGCCCAGAGAAGCTGGGGATGTCCCATCCCTGGCAGTGTTCAAGGCAAGTTGGATGGGGCTTTGAGCAACTTGGTCTAGTGGAAGGTGTCCCTGCCTGTGGCAGGGGGTTGGAAATAGGTGATCTTAAAGGTGCCTTCCAATCCAAAACATTCTATGATTCTATGACCCAGTATGTGTTACTGGAGTGAGTAACAATATTCCTACTTAAGCAAGACAGTGCCATCAGCACATAGAACAATATTGCATCCAGATCTGCGGATTTGCCTATGGTAACATCATTCATGGAATGAATAAAATTCAGTGTGCTTGCTTCTTACTTGTTTGTAGAGCTGCACTAACATTTTATATAGTTTTACCTGCCCTTGGCTATGTCAAAAGAACTGCATGGACATTTGGCTGATAACTTGCAGGGATAAAGCACATTTTAATAAACTACAAAATCCTGTGAAAACTAACAGCAAACTAAAGAAATATTATATACTCAGTTCTATTATTTTTTTAAATTTCTAACACAAGTACATACCATCCATCATTGTCTCTGTCAAAAGTACTGAAGAACATGCCATTGTGAATTGTCATTGTTCTGTTTTCTCCATGCATCTGTGAAGCTCCTTCCATTAGCGCATTGCCTGCATTGCCTTTGTAGTTACTAACTGAAAGTTGGTACTTGTTTCCTTCATTCTGTATGGTGAAACCTCCATAATGAGCGGACACTTTATTGCCATTCCAGTCTTCCATTTCAATTAAAACTTCAGTGGGCCCTATTTTGGTAAGTTGGCTGATTTTGTCATTTCCAAGCCAATATTCACCTGAGAAGCAACAAGTGATTGCTCTGTGAAATAGACTTCAAATATACTTCAAGGCAAATCTATTATTTGCCTATAGGTCTGCCTAAAAGTGGATTAGTTAATTAAAAGAAAAAAAAATCAAGATCTTAAAGAAATACAAGAAAACAGTTTCAGTAAGAAGAGCTCTTTGTGTTTCACGCTCGGTGTTTTACCTGGTGTATCACAGTAGTTCTTCCCTCCACTCTTTGCAACATTGCCAAATCCTTTTTTATACTGATCCCATACTCTTCCGAAATTAACACTGCCATCCTGGCGGTTCTGAATCAATGTCCAGCCTGCAGGAGCAACAGTTTTTAGATTAAATTGCCATTAAGAAAGGAACACGAATTGTTAAGATACAGTCCTTTGATCTTCATCTCAAGACAAGTGGAGCATATTGCATCAGGTCTGAATTTTCAAGCTCAGTCTTACCATTCTTACTCACACTTAAGTAGTGCCTTGCTTCATAAGGAAAGGTGGGAAAAGCAGAACTTGAAGGACTGCCCTGGTCTTTTGTCTAGCACATGGTAGCAGGGTAAGGAATGAGACAGGCTTTCCTGGTCTGCCCACCCAGATATTGTTTATTCTAGTCACAGTAAGATACGTTTTTATTTGCCAACCCTATCCCAGCAATTTATCTCCAGTTTCATTATAGAAGTATCCTACTGTGCATTTGAAGAAGACCGAGAAGACTTTTCAGAATCAGTCAATCATACTTAAACCTCAAGTAATTACAAAAGTGATAACTCCATATTAGTTGTTATAAAATGCAAATTACTAAAATGTTTTTTGAAACATCCATATTAATTAATATTTTAACACCCCAGTTATTTCACACTAACCTCCGTTATCTGTTTCCATGTCACAGTATACTCTGTATGGTCTGACGAAAGGATCTGGCTGGATGAGGTACATTTCAGATGTCTCGCCTCCTTTTCTGATAATATCCTCACATTCTGAGAGAATAACCAGAGACTGTTACTGAAAAAGCTATGAACTTCTTCAACAATCTTCTTATCCTTTTGTTTGATGATTATAAGAGAACAATTTTAAATATACATATAATTCTACTTTCATTTTGATTTCTGTGATACATGATGTGAAAGAGTGAAGGAAGAAAGAACAGCTCACTTTCATTGTTCTACTTTTCCAAATAGGAATTTCTAAAAGTTCAGACTGAGTGGTGGAAGACTGTATATTTCCCAAAGACTTTTTGAACTAGACAAACTCGTGAAAGAACCTTTCCTGACTAAAAATAATCAAGGGTCACAAATGTATCACCTCCACCTTACAAAATGCTGAAGCACCTATTTCTTTAAAATGCCACTAGCAAAGACTGATCTTGCGTAAGAAGATTTTTGGTCTGACCAGTATAGACATCTGTGAAAGATTTTTTGCATTTAGGATAACCTTCCATTTTTTCTGCTATCCTAATCAATGACAGACTTCAGAGCTCATTCAAATCAATTGAATGATGCATCTATCTATTTGCACAGTGATATAAATGGGAGGATTGATGTCATTATAGGTGAATAAGTACCTTTGCCTGAAACCACTGGAATATTGCAGGAAACAACACATGGGGAACGGCAGTAGTCTGTCTGGGTTGCAATGGCATTTTCTAGTTTTTGTATCTTTTTGTGTAAAGTATCCACAACTGAACGAAGGACCCTGAGGCTAGATGGGATGTTATTGTCCAGATTATCCTTTATATAATTATAATGCAATTCCACTTCTGTGTTGTACTGAGAAAGTATATCATCATTGTCTAGAAAAGCAAAGAGATGAAAAGCAGATTAGTTTTCAACATGTTTTCCAGTTACGGAATAATAAAGAGCAATCTGTAACCACAACTTAATAAGCCACTTCTTTCCTTAGCAGGGAGGAAGGATAGGCATTTCATTTGCTTGCATTTCCACAATGCAAAAAAATATGCAGAGATTCTCAGGAAAGTGGTGCATATGTATTGTTATTTCTTTGCTAGCTATTAGGTTTATCAGTGGTGCTATATTCTGCCAAAGAACTATAATGAGTTTCTCTCTAGGGAGCCATAGTGCCAAGCCAGGTGCTGGGCATAACACATTGGATGGACATAGGAAAGCAGGTAAGGGGGAACACATGACCTTCATGTTTAGGGGCTTCATATGAATCTTGCCTTGGTATGAGATCCATTCCTTTGACCCTCTCAAATGATTCTTTTTTTAAGATTTAAGAGGACATGGTTATGGAACCCTGCTTTGCTAGATATTCCATTGTATTTTTAAGTTTTTGAAGAAATTCCATTAACAACAGCGGCAATACCAATAGAATTGAAATAGCATTTACACTAGTAATTCATAGAAATAACATACCTCTTCTTTGTTTTTGCCTATTTACCAATTTATCATCTAGAACATTCACATATTCATAGAAAGTTGCAGAGGTTTCAGACAGCTTGCTCACTTTGTCCTTTAGATCACGAACAACTGATTTCACATTTTTTTCCTGTTTTACCAGTGTAGTTTGCAGCTCGCATCCAGTTGGACACAGCACTCCCTTAAAAACAACAAACAATCAATAAAGTCAATATAAAAAGTATCTATTTCCATTAGTGTATGACCACACCTCTGAATGCACTGAATAGTTAGCAGTGTGAGACCAGATATTTAACTATCTAGATAAGCACTCAAGACATCAAACTTTTGCAAAGCAGCTGCAGCTGAAGGTCAGGCAGGAGCCCTGAGTTCCCCGTAAGGATTCTTTCATAGAAGATCTTAGGAAAAGCCCTCTCTCTTCATACTTTTTTGGTCCACTATTTGCTTTTCACTTTTCTGCCCTGCTAAATGTTCACAGTGTTAGGCCACCTGAACTATGATTAAAGCCTATCAGGAACTACCTGGTGCCTGTGCCATGTTTATACCTACTCCTCTCCTCTTTCTCTGTCCTCAGAGAATCAACCATGTTATCCATACCTTGTTATAGATATCTGTTGTGAAACAGCCACACAATTCATTTAAAAATTACCATCTCAAGAAACTAGGCACCCTTGCTTCCGCAACAAGTGCTGCACCGTCACGGACAGCAATGTTTTAAAAAGAGGTGGGAAATTCTGAGGTCCTGTAAGAACCAAAATACCCAGGCAGCAGTGGGACTTACCACAGCTGTGTACTCATTAAGCTTTAACAGACTTCATTTGTTGTCAACCTCCATACTCAAATTTGCTCCCAGACAACAAAATGTCCCTTAGCACTGTCACAGCTTGCATTTTCCAGCAGAGAGCACAGCAGGGACTACTGCAAGGGTGCAAGGAGTATGCTAGGTCTCAGCATGCTTGCACACTTCTACGTAAGTACTGGGGCAATGACTGAGGGTAATTAGTTTGAAACGAATGGGAGGTTACTTTTTTGCTCTCCAGGTTCCTTGAGATTATCTGAAATTCAAGCCAGTGCTTCTGCAGTGGGTTTTTTGGGGTGTTTTTTTTTTTTTCCTTCTTAACAGTTACATGTTCAAAATCATATGGATATTGCAGGCTAACCCACAGGTACTTCCTTTCCTCATTTGCAGTTCAAATCCCATTGGCTGTCTGACTCTGTGACGAATCCTATGAGCTCTGTGTCATTACCTTTTCTGAATGCAGTCCTACCAAACTCAAATAAAATGAAGCAAAGTTGGACTGCTTTAAATGAATGACTGTCCCTTGTGTGGCAAAGAAAACTCCATGTTGGGTGCACTAGAAGAAAAGGACAGTCTCTTATCAGCAGGCAGACACCTACCAGCTCTTCTAAAGGATGCTTACAGCCACCAGCATCGGGGTATATGATACGTTCTTTCTTGTCTCCTGGTTTCACTCTCTTTGGGGGCCGTGGCTGGTATCCAGTTCCACTGATGGGAGGTGCTACGGGCCGGAGTGTGGGAGCCACTTCCCGCCTTTTGTCCAGGGGTCGGTGGCCTCGAACCCCAAGCTGAGGGCTGTCATCCTGCAAAACCAAGGAGGGAGGAAACTGAATCTGGGATTGCTGTTGTAAAACGTGATGCACAGGGTAGAGGCATCCATTCTTTAGTATCTTAAACAGCAAGGAGAACCATGGAATGGAATGCAAAAAAGCAATAATGGAAACATTACGCTGACATTATCTAAAAGTCATTGCTATGCCTCTCTTGTAAAACTAGTCACACTCCCTCTACCCTGATATAGACAAACTAAAAAGTCTTCAAACCAAAGCAAAACAGTATTTCAGTAGCTCATTCTGATCAAGAATAAAGTTTATGTAGTTCGGAGCCACTAAGCACCATGAGGCCATGTAGTAGGATACAAAACCAAACCCCAACACATTCTTGGGCTTAAGAAGAATATTCAGCATTATGTTATCAGTGTCCCAATTTTTCATCAGGCTACAGGAAAATTTGTAAGGTCTCAGAAAATCAAGCCACAGTCAAATACATCATCAGGTCTCAGGCCACATGCCAGATATTAACTGATGGAATTAGGAAAAGCATTCAATGCTGTCTCTCGGGCTAGGTTTTTAGAGCTTGCTCTGATGCATATGTTCCCCATCCCTGCCAGAAATGGTAAAATCTAAGAGGCTGTGAAGGAAAACAGGCCCTAAACGGTTGTTGAAATTAAACTATTTGAATTAATAGTTGTTTGATCTACAGAATCAAAATCTTCAACAATCTCAGATTCCACTCCAACTTAGCTACAAATAATAAACATTTGTAGGAAACCAGGATCAGGACTTCAAGTGGTTTCAAAAGTAGGCAGCATACAAATCACAAAATTCCTGAATTAGCCTTCCTTAGCATGGTAGCGTTATCAGTAGTAAACATACAGACACAAATGTTTAGATTGTACTAGAGAAAATCACCACATTTTGGCTACCCTGACCTATGTAATTTTTGCAGGAATTTTCAAAAATATAAAAAAATATACTGAGATTCTAAATTATATTTTCCATTAAACATTTTACTTAAAATTACATACAGGTTAAACTGTTATTTTAGATTGATCCTCACGCTTGCCTTTTTTGTTTAACAATTGCTACCTCTCCATTTCTAATGTTAAGCTGTGAGCTGGCAATGTCTATTGAGTCCACAGGGAAGTTTTTACTGGCTTTGAGACAGGACATGATTAATTACACATTAATTCTGCTCTTTTGCACCTGATACTACTTGTGTGTAACATCATCAACAGCATTGCTAAATTAATATTTTTAACAAAATTCAGCTAAATAATTAATCTTACCATTGGACATTTTTCATTCCCTACAGAAGAATAAAATAAATAGGAATAAAATATCCAAACTGAGAAAAGAACTATCATGCAGTTACATGTACATGAATATATAATACAAAGGTCATTTCTTTTAACACTTCAAGTGGGCATAAAGAATATGCACTGGATCATTTTTTCCCACAGCTTCAAACTTAGTTAATTCACATAAGTCATGCACACAATTAAATTAATTATTAATAATTATTATAATTATTATCATAATTATAATTATTATTGCTCTTATTATTATTGATGATCAGTACTACAACCTCATCATCATAGTCTGTAGAGGCCTGGGGTTTAACAGAGGAAACACAGAGCAGGAACAGCAGGAGCAGTTTCATGGTGCTGGCTTGCTTGAGCAGTTCAGTGACTTTCTCCCACCAGCAGCTCTGACAGGGAGATGTCCTCTCTATTCCCATATATATAGGCGGCAATCCTAATTTCCAGCTTCACAGTGATAGGATCAACCCTTCTGAGCAATCACTGTATGTCTGTTAATATTCAACCTTTCTCTTCACTGTGTGCCGGAATGCATTTGTTGTTGAGCAATTTCTTTGGACAAATCTTATCTACATGTCCCAGAGACCTCTGTTGGTGCTGGCACCAAATAGATGTTTAAATCCTTAAAAGTATCTCCTGCTCAGATTACGCAAGGTTACAATTTTCTCAAAAATCACAAGTCTTTCAAAATAGCTGAAAAGGTGAACATCAAAAGAAAAAAAAAACCAACACATCATATCTCACTGTGATGTCTCCCTTTTTTCTCTGCTGAATATTTGAGCATTTCAGAAATATCACATAAATTTGAATTAAACTCACATCATACAGATTGCTACATTCTTCTGGTGCCTGAGAGGTATGCAAGTCTTTGGGTCTCTTTAAGTACAAGAGCAAAAAGGAGTATATTATGTTCAATATGTAAATAATTTTGAATGAAAACATTAAAGATCAGATGAATATTGTAAGCTATTCCACCACTTTAGTATTGTAAATTAACTAAAGTAAATAATTTTACATATGAATTTGCTGGTTTTATTTTTTTAATACAAAAAGTATATCTGTTGAATATTATTTACAGGTTTTTAATAATCTTTTAAAAGAATACAGCATTAAGTTATCTGTAATCATAGTGAAATACTCAAACATGTTTTCTGATGCTTTATAAGAGTATGACATATCACTGCTCTCATATTAGCAGGCTTTTAACATTTTTGTGTCTTTATATAATGTGATTTTCTCATGCATTATAAATGACCATAGCACGCTTTTCAAAAGCCATTCATTCTGGTGTCTGAAGACACAGAGATGCAAACCATGGGCTGATGTTCCATTTCAAAGATCAACTTGATGAAGTGGGAGATTTTATGGTAAGTAAAGATGAGGACAGCTAAAATTACTTGGTTTAGTCCTTTTTTCTGTGCTGTTGCCAGAATTCTTGTAAACTATGGAGATTCCTGAAATATGAAAACTATTTAACCTGACCGGTTTAATTATTAAATAGCTTGGACTAACATCAGTTGTGGCTCAAGGAGCTCTAACTCCACTGAATTTGATCCCTTGCAGGAGGACATCAACAACACTTTGATTTGGAAGAACACAAACTTCTCCTCTCAGGCATTAGAGAATTCTGCCTAAAGCCAAAACTGACATCAATTAACATACAATTTCCAAGATATTATCACTGATTCTGGGCATGTCCCAACCTTAAATGCAGTTTTCCCCCCATGTACCTCTGAGGGAAGTTCAGTCACCCTCATCTTACGTATAAGGAAGGGACATAGCGATGCTGAACCCTTGCTCAGGGTCATGTACAGCAGAACTAAAAGAAGGTCTCACTAGTCCTGACCTAGAAACTTGCTACTAAATTATCCTGTCTCAGTCCAAACAAAACTTAATTAAATGTATGATATTTGTCCTAAATCCATTCTGAAACCATAGCCATGTTCTGCAGTAACTTATGGTGTCCTTCTTCAGGCATTAAGTACACTTTGTCCCCCTACGAAGAAGCGTGGCTATGCCTGTGCAGAGAATGTCAGGGACCAGATGACAGGGATTGGCACAGAAGCCCCCAGGCTTGATGCAGAGTCCCAGACAGGGAACCCCTAGGCTCCATCTGCCTTCAGATGGGACTTCCTCTTTGAAGCTTGTCCTTTGACCCTCCCACCTCCAGTACTTTTCTTTGGTTTCCACAAGAGAGTTGTGTCTCTCTGGGGATTTTCTGTGAACCACACGTGTGTCATACCACACTGGGTTTGTGTCAGAGGAGCAGAAGCCCCACCTAGTGAGCCAATGCCTTGTCTACACTGCAAAGATTTTGCCTGGAGTTTTATCAGCAAAAAATGGTCCAAATTTGAACTGCCTATAAAGCAACCTACACTGGCAAATGTGTATACAAAGAACATTTTGGCAGCAGAATTTAATCTACATTAGCATGCTGGTTATGAGATGTGATTTTTCTCTCATGCTTGCAACCAAATACAGTTTGATTGATGCTTTCTAAGGACTGAATGAAGCCTTATTAACAACCACAGCCATGGCTTAAATTTCTTCTAAAAATGATACCAAAAAGGCTTTCTTTTCAAAACAGGACACCTAATCTTTGTTCCTTCATATGCCCTCCTCCAACTTGTGGTTAATGAGAAGCTGTTCCCAGAGTTAACGGTACCACAACAAACCTGCTATTAGGAACTGCAATAATACAACATGGACCTGATGGTGTTTCAGGACATCCCTTTGTACAGTATTTTTGTACTGAAAAGGCACTTACTGGCAGAGGTGTATGTGTATGTTTGGAGGAATGACTATTTGCTTGCTGCCCCTTGTGTTTGTTGTGCCGACGTGTCTGGCAGTGGTGGAACCCTCTTTACACAAACCCCTGTCAGGCAAGTCATGGTCACTGAATCACAGCTTTTCAGAGTTGAATGTGCCTTCTGAAGTGTTCTTGGGGTGGGAGAACACGATGTGCCACGATGAGATGTAGTATTGACTAAATTAAACTTTAAAATAGCGGTTCATTTATAAATGTCCTTTTGAACAACTAGTGTTGTAATAGTGTCATACTATGAAAAGAATACTGTAAACTTTAATGTTGGTCTCTGCTGAGATGAACATCCCCATTTCTTGCTTTTACTGGTAAGAAATATTACTTCAAAGGTTTTTCATAAATGAGAATTAATGCTCTATGCATGATCTGGAAGCAAACAAATTCTCAAACATTAATGAGTGGGGCTGTTCACTTTGAACTTAAAAAAGCACTAAAAGCACATGCAACTTACTAGTCACCTTCATCTAAGTAGCAATTTATAAAAAATTACATAGCGTATTATTTCCAGAATTACAGCTGGCAACTGCTGCTGACATGCAAGAAGACATATAATGAAGAAAATTAATAAAGTGCATACCCTAATTAGTACTGCTGTCATTAATTTATTGAAATTCTGGGGCTAAATTTCACCTTGGACTACGTATTCTGTCAAAAAAAAAAATTATTACAGAGATTAATTTGGCCCCTGATTTTCTAAAGCTTTCCAAGGACACCAGGAAATAAGGTGAGATTATAAACTTCTGAGGGGAATGTTTATTTGTAAAAAACAAAAATAAAAATGAGAGCAACTACAGGGCCATGTGCACACTAGTAATAATAGCAAGAAACAACACATAGGAGCAAAATTTCTTGGAAAATATAAATGGATAATTTTTTATTTATTTTTGCACTGCTACAAGAGCCTGTATTTGAAATTTAGTTTCCTTTAAAAAGGCAGTAAAAATAAGCCTGATTTCTTTCAACAGACAATAGAAACAACTGCATTATGATACTCTGTGTTGCCAGAAATTAGCCCTTAAACCATTTCCACATATCAAATCCACTGACCAATCAACAGGCACAGACTACTCTGTGTAAACTTAAAAACCACCAAACCTGTTTGAAATCCCTTGCCCCCAAAATCTCCTTTTAAACCTTGTGTGTCTTCAATCTAGCCTCACCAGCTTGGGAGGATGCAACAGCTTTGCCTCATTTTAACACACCACCCCATGGAGTTTGCGCTTTAAGACCGGACGGATGATGCTCCTCCTCCTTAAGGTGCTGTGCTGGCCTTTACCCAAGGCTCAGAAACCTAACAGGGATCACCAGAGGGACTATCAAAATAGGTCCTCTTGTTAAACATGAAACCTGGCTGGCTTGTCTTGAAACTGAACTGGCAATGCTCCTCTGCTGTTAGCGGTACAACATAACCGACACCTCTCCCACACCTCAACCCCAAACCAGGAACTGGGAGCCAAAGCCACTTGCAGCACATGTCCAGCTGTCACTGTACCTTAAATAACTAAATATAAACTGCCAGTGCCGCCACCAGGCATGACCCATCAACTCCAAAAGAGAGAAGAGATGGTCATTATGTCAAGCAGGCAGTTCATGTGCCAGAAATAATGCCAAGTTAATTCTATCCTGTGGCTAATCAAAAGCACAGGTTTGGGCTGAGTGATGTTGCACTGGATTGCATTTAAACCAAATCAGTTTGCAAACTCCTCACAGCTCAGGCACACAGAGAGATGTAGTAAGTGGCAGGCACAGTGGTAAAGAAAAGCAATGTGATGGTAGGGTTGCAGAAGATGTGTTTGCCAAATGCCAGCTTTAGCTTGGGAGGTTAAGACTTCCTAAGTTTAAGAGCAAGTGAGTGTATGTGAAGAAAGTCGATGCCAATTTGCACATATGCATTTGGTTATTCTGCCTACGAAGGCAAGTGAAAAATCAACTGGAGTATCCGGGTACCTTTGGAAAAGAACTACAAGCCCTTACACAGCATACATGCCATTAGGTGTAGGGATTGCCAGATATCAGTCTCCGCTAAAAGACAATCCTGTAGACTCACACTAAAAGTACTTTCTCCAAAATGCCAAGTATAATGGCTAGCATCCCCTATTGCAATGTTTTCTTTTGTTTAGAGGTTGCATTTCAGGCCTGGGACTATTTTCCCACATCCCGCTCGTGCTGTGCAATTCCCTGAACTGAATTTAACCTTGGGAACCCACAACGAACACGACGCCTAAACGCTGTAGCTGCACGGCCCAAAACAACGGCAAAGGCCAAAGATTTCTGTAAAACCAGGCTGACCAGAGGGCACCCAACCCCTCAGCGAGGGGAACCGCTGCGTAAACGGCGCCGACTCCTCCATCGCCCTGGTTCATGAAAGTCCAGGCGCCTTTCACAAAGGTGAGCATTGCTCTCTCCTGGCGGGTACCGCTCACTGCAGCCCTCTCACCGCACACTCCCACACCACTCGCAGGTCTCGAACCTACGACCTCAGCCCGCACCACAAGATCCGTAAATCCCACCTCCATCAGGTCCCGCCCCCGGGCCTTTATCTGCTCCGCCTCTTGCGCGCGCGAGTCTGTGCCCGCGCCTTCGCGATGCGTCACTTCCGTTGCGGCGCGGGGCAGGTGCCGGAAGTCTCTCCATAGCGGTGTCGGAGTGCGGTGGTGGTGGTGTTCGGTGCTTGCCGGCGCCATGGTGGAGGTGAGAGGCCGGAGGGGGTTCGGTTACCTCCAGTGGGTACCTTGCGTGGTCCCTGCCTTGCCGTTGAGTCGTGCCGGGAGGGACTAGGGAGCGCTGCTGGGGCGGCGGGGCGGCTTGGGCCCGTGATGGGGGGGAAGCCGGCGGGGACTACCGAGCACCTCAGCGCACCCCCACTTCGACCTCGGTGTGAAAGCGCCGCTGTGGTGATAGACCACGGCTGTCCCTCTGCCTTCCTAGCCCCTGCCGCGGGGACAGCGAGTGGGGCGCCGGTGTGAAGGCTGCCGGGCGCGGGTTTCGGGCGGGAGTAAGCGGCAGGCAGCAGTTTTGATTTGAAAGACTTACGCCGTATGCGGTATTTGTGCTGGGAAATGGTGTTGTGATTCCCAGCCTCCGGTGACTTATTGGCTTGGTCAGCTAGCCAAAGAAACGGAATCCGGCCTGTGAGGGCTTGGAAGTGAAATCATGGAGAAAGCCACTGTTTTTACGGACCCTGGAATAGTTACTGTGGAGTGAACATCATGCATTTCTAAAAGCATGTAGTGTTGTCAGGAGCATGTACGAAGATGCAGACACTGCTGCTGTATGTAACGGTAGCAGGGCTTTTTTTTACAAAAGAATGTTTGTCAGAAAATATTTGAAATGCTTTTTCCCTACTGGGGAGGTGTTGTGTTACCTAGTACTCGTGTTGATTTCAACAGCTGCTGTTGTTGAATAGTAATTAGCTTCTATTATTCTAATCTCTTTCTTCAGATGTATGAAATTCCTAATCCTACTCTAAATGTTTTGGCTTGTTTTTTTTTCTCCTGTTTAATACCTGGAGATTGTAGGAAAGTATTGAGCTAGAGCAGCAAACTTTGTGTAGCTGCTACTGAGTCAGGAAGCTAATAGCCACTGCAAAATGGGCTGGTAAGTGGCCAAACAACTTTGAAGGCAGGAAAACAAAACTTACAGATAACTAAATAGGGAAAGCGCTTGTGTAGTGATTCTTGAAGGCTGGGCAGTGCCAGAAGTTATTCAAGTAGCTTCCAATTTGTTGCTGTTTTTTGTGTGACATACAGAACGTACAGTCATGCAAAGAGTTTTGGCTTTGTACCTGAGCAAGCAGGCTCAGATTTACAATGATTTTTTTTTTTTTCCATTGGGAGGAAAATATTAGCAAGAAATTACTTGTGCTGTTAATAAGTAAAAAGCCTCTATAAATTAATAGCTTTAACCTTGCTTGTTAGTTTCTGGATGGGAATTGTAAGTATGTTTTGCTCATAGTAACAAATGAATATTACAAAAGGAAAACAAGTTTTGTCAGGTTTTATCCCAAGTTTTCTCTTAGTAAACTGCCGTGTTTATGTAAGGTGTCACAGAAACTGGTGATTGCTCTTGTTCTTTTTCTGGTGGTAGTGAAATAAAACTTACAGAACTGTTTTCAGAATTCGTTATTTTATTGCCTGCTTACAAAAACAGAATGTGAAAGGAGGAGGGGGAAAAAGCTTGTACGCTCATGGAGCTGTTTTGTAGATGCCAGTGCAGAAAGCCTGATCAAAGTTTTTGGCAGTTTTCAAGAAAGGGATTGTTATTTTGAGTAAATGATAAATTAACAATTAACAGCTAAACATAATTTTCTAGTTTCCAAGATGAGTGGTGTTTTCTGTGAACTAAACAGTGCTATGTTATCTAATGGGACTGAAGTCTGGAAATTGCTACTTGGTTTAACCTGTGTTTCAGTTTTTCATGTAATTATAATCAAATGTGTTTAAATGTTCTTTTCTTTCCTCTTAGGAAGTCCAAAAGCATTCTGTGCATACACTTGTGTTCAGATCTTTGAAGAGGACTCATGATATGTTTGTAGCTGATAATGCCAAGCCTATCCCATTAGATGATGAAAGGTAAGTACTGCACTCAGTCAGGTTTTAACCTGTTAGCGATTGCTCCATCCAAGTCAGAAGTTCAGAAGGTTCTGTAGAGTTAACAAAGTAGTCTTAAGGGGAAAAAAAATACCATAAAGTGAGTCATATAAAGTCTCTCAGATCTTTCAAAACTTAGTAACAACAAAAATCAGGGTTTATTCAGGATTGTGCTTTACTCTCCCAACAGTCACAAAGTAAAGATGGCAGTCAAGTTACGTACGGAGTATGGCTCAGTATTACACATGCCTACTCTTAAAGAAAACTTGAGAGAAAAAGGAGGTCCAAACACCGGGGATCCTTATGGACACAAACAGTACTCTGGAAATCAAGGTTAGTTTGCTTTTAAGGGTATATTTGTCCTTTCTTTTGTAACAGCCTCACTGATGTATAATCCAAAGAATGCAGTACAGTGTTAATCCATTGGTAATAAATGTGGAAAACAAAATACTTTTTTTATTTATTTTTTATTGTTTCATATTTTTCTTGCTACGGTCCATAGGAGTCAAGTGATTCAGAACAAGGAGGAAATTTGTTTTAACAAGGAATAATAGGCTGCTGTGAAGGTTTTACACTGATGCATTAGTAAAAAGAGCAAATTTTATGGTAACATTAGTGTAAGCTATACTTGGGTGTTAGAAAGATGAGTAATATATTTCTCCTTTTTACATATTCATGATGGTCAAGGGCGTGTTTATTTGGTTGGGGTTTGTTTTGGTTTTGTTTTTATTTTGTTTCATAACATTTTTTCATGCTTCCTTTAGCTCTGCGACTATGAAACCAGAAAATTATATTAAATCTGTAGGCTTTTTTTCAACCGATGTTTGGTTATATATAAAATCTGTATGTAATAAGTAGATCCCATATGGAAACTTCTCTTCTAAAGAGTGCCAAATGCCACCTTATTTCAGTTAAGATTTGTTGTTTTTTTTCTCAAGGTACTTTATGTGGGAGTATTCTGAAATATGTTGAGAGATAATGAAAAATCTTTAAAGAAAAAGAAAAACTTTTCTTTTCTGATACCATAGACAACCAGTTGTCTTTACTAGCTTACATTTCAGATACCAGTGCTATTTGTGTACTTGAATTCTTTTCTATGATTGCTGCTACAAAAGGCATCTTTGACAGTATGAAGATTTTTCTCTTGAGAGTCCCTCTTGATAATGGGTATCCTCACCATTTAAAAAATTATTTTATTTTTTTTACTATTGAGTTTTAGAATACAGAGGTAATTGGAACAAATGAAATTAAAATAAAAATGCTTGTGTAGTACACTAGAAGTGATTGTTAGTTTCTTCTACTGCTGTTTTGATTTATTTCCTGTTTGAGTACATCATTTGCAGTATGAGATGTAATTATTAATACAACATTTTGTTGCTTTTCAGGACAAGAACTTGAATATTTGATAACTGGCACACATCCATATCCACCCGGGCCTGGTAAGTAAAATTCTGTGTGTGCCGGGGTTTTTTGCCTCCATCCTAGCAGGAGCAGTCTTTCTCTTGCTGTGAATCCGTATCTTATAGTAGTGGGAAATGCAGTTGAAGACTTTCATGGTATTGATGCAGATAGTTTTGTGACTGATAGGAAGGAGGAGGATCTAGGTACAGATGCTGTGTCTTCTCACTGAGCCTCAGTGAATATAAGCTTGCTGTGAGGTAGTCATTCATTTCTATGAGGTTTCACCTTCTGTGGTAACATTATGACAAAAATGTTTTAGAAATCTGCTCTTTGATATTGTGGTCCTCTTTCTCTGGGAGACTTTTCCCTGAGAAAGAGACATTAGGTCTAATAATTTGTGTCATTTGGTTTTGTCTGTGCTTGGAAGGGTTATGTTTCTATGTTGTTACATTGGCCATTGCTAATTGTCACTACTGTTTTATTTTTTTCAAGGTGTGGCTCTGACAGCAGATACTAAGGTACAGAGGATGCCTAGTGAATCTGCAGCACAGTCCTTAGCTGTGGCACTTCCTGCTTCTCAATCCAGGTACTGATGTGTTACTTCATTAACACTTTTCTACGGGGATTTCAAGGCAAAATACTGAAGTCAGAATAGGAGCTACTTTGAGTATTTTTTATGAACTCATTTATGAAATGATTAAAGAAACTACTTTTAGTGTGGTCAGGCGTCATTTTTCTGTGCCCTACTGTTTTCATGGAAAAGAAAAAATGAGGCTTTGTTTGTGGATGTCTTTTACCTTGAGGTGGTCAGTCACAGGAGCAGGTTGCCCAGAGAGGTTGTGGAGTCTCCATTCTTGGAGGTGTACAACGCTCAACTGGATGTAGCCCTGCGATAACTTATTGTTTAGTAAAAGAAAGTTGATTCCAATCCATCAATCATTTTCATTCAACCTAGGTTGGATGCAAGTCGAACAGCTGCTGGTGTGGGTGATATTTACAGACATGCTGGAATATCTGAGCGTTCACAGCCTCCTGGGATGTCTGTGGTGAGTTGCACATCTAATGTGAAAAGTATGTAGTATTCACCAGATTTGCTTCTGGATACATTTGTGTGTTGTGTGGAAATCTCCTGACTGACTAAACATAATCAGTGTTGAGATGTCACAGCAAGAAGGCTTTAGGTTCTAGGTAAGGAGGTAAGTTATAAAACATAAGAGTAACCTTCCTTTTGACTTACAGGCTATGGTGGAAGCTGGTGGAAACAAAAATTCAGCATTAATGGCAAAGAAGGCTCCAACCATGCCCAAACCTCAGTGGCATCCGCCTTGGAAACTGTACAGAGTAAGTTACAAATACGTGAATATGAACATGCACATAAAAGTAAATGAGTATTTAATGTTCTATGAAGACCTCAAAGCATAATTTTCCTTCTCATTCACAAAAATTAAATCAAATTAAAAGTGATCACAGCTAAGTTGCATATGTACACTTCCTTAAATAACAAAGAGGTTAAATTACGAACATCATTCTATATGGCAAATTTTTTTGTAAACATTGTAAATTTTACCCTTATATTTACTTACGTGTAGCTGTGTTGTGATAAATTTGTTATAGAGTTTGTTTTTTCTAGTGTGATTCTTTGATAGAGGAACCTAAAGGCAAAGTGCAAAATTTGAAACTGATAACATGTTCAAGAAATACTGTTAATGCAGTAAAATTGTCACCAGAAACACTTAAAGGCAGTCACTGAATCAGCAAGACTTCTTTTACTTGATATGAAAATGGGGAGAAGAGCTGAATACTTAAATTACAAATTATCTCTGTGGTTTAGATTGGTTGACTTCTAGTCTTGTCTTTTAATTACTCTAATTTGCCTTTTAATTTTCTTAGCCATTCCCCCCAAATCTGATACCATCTTCAAATGTTTTGGTGATAAGTATGGCAAAGGAGCTGAGTTGAAGAGAAAATCTCTAAGCATGTGTATCTGTTCAGATCTTTTTAACTTTTCAGGTGCATCTGTTTGAACATGTACCTTTTTTTCTTAAGGGGCTGATTCTTACTATGAAATTTGAGCAATTTGATATTTTGTATTGGTTGTGTATTTTTATGTGAATCATAGAATCATTAGGGTTGAAAAAGAACTTAAGATCATCTAGTTCCAACCCCCCTGCCGTGGGCAGGGACACCTTACACTAAATCATATCACCCAAGGCCTCGTCCAGCCTGGCCTTGAACACTGCCAGGGATGGAGCATTCACAACCTCCCTGGGCAACCCATTCCAGTGCCTCACCACCCTAACAGGAAAGAATTTCCTTCTTATATCCAACCTAAGCTTCCCCTGTTTAAGTTTTAACCCATTACCCCTTGTCCTGTCACTACAGTCCCTAATGAAGAGTCCCTCTCCAGCATCCCTATAGCCCCCTTCAGATACTGGAAGGCTGCTATGAGGTCTCCACGCAGCCTTCTCTTCTCCAGGCTGAACAGCCCCAGCTTTCTCAGCCAGTCTTCATACGGGAGGTGCTCCAGTCCCCTGATCATCCTTGTGGCCCTTCTTTGGACTTGTTCCAACAGTTCCATGTCCTTTTTATGTTGAGGACACCAGAACTGCACACAATACTCCAGGTGAGGTCTCACAAGAGCAGAGTAAAGGGGCAGGATCACCTCCTTCGACCTGCTGGTCACGCTCCTTTTGATGCAGCCCAGGATACGAAAGAAAGGGTCAACATTATGAATGTTAGGCTTTCCTGACACTGAAAAATCTTATGCTCTGGTATCAGAACTGGATTAGCAATTTTCATCTGAATGTAGCACCATGTATAGGCATTTAGATTTTCAGAAGAGTACTGAGTGCTGCATTAGTCATGAATCTTAAATTACTTTTTGAGATTAGCCTTTTTGAGAAAAGCACTTTAGCTCAAAGGAATACAGAGGTTTTCTAAATGTGGCAGTAGTGGAATGTGCTCTTCATAAAAATCAAAGCAAATGCCATGTGAAAAAAATTGCACCAAAATAAACCCATGAAAGATTTAAGATAAGTGAAAAATGCGTACTTGTTAAGGAACACTTTCTTTTCAGAGAGACTGTAAATACAATTGAAGTCACTGTATTAATTCTACATGTAAACGGTTTTAGTGGGAGTTTGCTGTTAAAATCCTTGCTCAGCATGAAGAAGCTTTTTCAGAAATAAAGCATAGATAGAATGGTAAATGTGGGTTTCATCTTGTCTGTTGCATTTTAACTGATCTCCCCAAGTTTGTGAAAGGTGAGGACCTCAAATAGGTCAGATAAACTATTTCTTAGATTTCTTCCCTGGAAATTCCTGTTTCTATTTTTAGACTAGGAAGAAATCTAGACAGCTATCTCAAATGTGGCTGTGGTCTTATCTGGTCAGAAGAATCCACTTTAGCTTTCCAAAGTATTTCTATCTAAGAACTTTTATTGTTTCAGATTTTTTTAAAATTAACTGTGTAACAGTGCATGAAATACAACATCCAGTGAAACCAAATACGGGGTTTGATGTTTAGCTGTTTGACTTCAGAGAAATTAAAGAGACAAGCGGCTGTAAACAAGCCCTGTGTTGGTAGAGCTTTCCTTATGAGATCTGTCTCCAGCATTTTGTTACCAGAAAGCTTCTGACGTATTATCCCTTATTTAGAGAAAAGGAGGTGGTAGTATGCTTTAACAAGTTCTTATATGGCAACATGATTTAATAGCTAAGATTTTATATAATTGTTCTTTATTTTTGTGTAAGTGGTATGAAGCAGCAAAAGGAACTTGTGCTTAAGTCCAGTCTTTCTCTGCAAAGCCTCAAGTGGTGAGCCACAGTGTTATGGACTGTCAAAGGACTTGAAAAGGTTGCATATAGGAACAGGATCTTTCTATATTGCAAGTTCCCAAAGTCTGTATGACTTCTAAATTTTCATTAGTTTCTTCATTTAACTAAAGTAGAAATCAAGCTCTCTTCAGATCTAATTTTACATTTGACTTTTTGGGGAGTATACATTTCCTGATGAGTACAAACGAATTCCAGTGCTGAGAAATGAAAGTTATACTGGCAGATGTATGTGTATTATTTCTTATTTAAAAAAAATTTATTCTTTCTAAAGGTTATCAGTGGTCACCTGGGCTGGGTGAGATGTATTGCAGTAGAACCAGGAAATCAGTGGTTTGTTACTGGCTCTGCTGACAGAACCATAAAGGTAAGAGGCTGGAAGAAATCGCTGACAAAGTTGAGGTGGGGGTGTTTAGCTTTTTGTTTTGTTATTTAAAAATGTCTTCAGCCCTTGGAAACAACTTCTTGCAACTCCTTGTAGCATAACTGCTTGCAGAATAATGAACTGCAGAGCAGTTTTTTTTAATTTATCACCTAGTCATAAAGGATTTGTGGAGTACTACTACTTCTTAAGATTTCATTTATTACATGGTAATAGCTGGAGGGCAAATGTCTATGTTACTGTAAGTTTTGATTTACAGTGCAGCAGGGTCACTTACATCTGGGCTGTTTACCCAGACTGTTACTAGATAGCTTTTACCTGTCTACCTCAAAACCCCTATTTTGATGCAGATCTGGGACCTTGCTAGCGGCAAATTGAAATTGTCTTTGACGGGACACATCAGTACTGTGCGAGGGGTGATAGTAAGTGCAAGAAGTCCATACCTCTTTTCTTGTGGAGAAGACAAACAAGTGAAATGCTGGGATCTTGAGTACAATAAGGTAAGCTAGTTTCTTTAATTTGAATTAATTGGTGGTGTCAAATATAAAAATCAAAGCATTTAGAAAATTCTTTCAAATATCAAGTTAGCATGTGTGCATTTTTTTTACTCATCTAGGTTATTAGGCATTACCATGGTCATCTCAGTGCTGTGTATGGTTTAGACCTGCATCCAACAATAGATGTACTGGTAACGTGTAGTAGAGATTCAACAGCACGAGTAAGTATAGCATTGTTACTTTTTAATATCTTGGTATGTCAGTGTTTCAACATCTTCCATTTGTAAAAGTTAACATGAAATCAAGATGAAAATACTAAGATGATTTATTTTAGCTTTGTCTTCCGTTGTTGATAAAACTCAAGCCTGAATACACAAAAATGCAGTGTCACTTTAAGATAAGGTTTTATTTCTTAATTTAGTGGGTAGACCTCATAGTGTTTATATAGGATTGCTTAGCATTTAGAAGGGTAGTATGGCTTTATGGTGACTTCAAGTTATTTGTATGTTTAAAAATTCAGTGGCAGGCTTCCTGCTCCCCTTGCAGTTTTCCAGCTGAGGCAACTGTGTGATGAACTGTTGGATGAAAAAAAATACAACCTAAATACTTTTTAATCTGTAGAACTATGGCAAGGAATTCATGTAATCAATGACAGTGCCTAAGATACATTGAATGTGCACCTCTTACTGACCTCTGACATACTTACTGTAAATTCATAGATCTGGGATGTAAGGACAAAAGCCAGCGTGCACACACTATCGGGACACACAAATGCAGTAGCAACAGTGAAGTGCCAGGCTGCAGAACCACAAATTATTACAGGTATGGTGGGCTTATAGGTTACTTCACAAGTAACATGATTGAAAAACCTAATAATTTTTGTATGTGCTCATTAATTATGTGAGGTTCATAATGCAATCCTTGTTAAGTTACTTAATTTCTCTTATTAGTTTTCTGTTGAAAATAGTCAATGCTGTGGTTATTTCATGCTGTTATGTTTATTAAATTGTATGTTTAAGCAAATATAGATGTACATTGCTAGAATATTTTTCTGCACTTTGTTTCTGGTGTTTACTTTTTCTGTTGTACTATGAATTGAGACTTGCCTTCTCTGTGATATATCACAGTTCTCCCAAATGAAGTTAAGACGTGTCTGGTACCATGGTAAAATATTGTTTATCTTCTTTCCCATTGCATAAAAATTCAGCTTTGCTGTGTAACTTAGCTCTTAAATTTCAAACGGTGTAAAAAGACCACTACAACCCAGCATCTTCTTCACCTACAGAGGCATTTAATAGAATATTTTTGTAACAAGCATGGTGTTTTTGTCTTTTTTGCATATAAGGTTTTGGCTGCCTTGTCAAAATAATAACGGTGATAGAATCAATATGATGGTTGCTACTACTTCTTGTTTTCATTGTAGGCAGTCATGATACTACCATACGGCTCTGGGATTTAGTGGCAGGAAAAACTCGTGTTACTTTAACAAATCACAAGAAATCTGTTAGAGCAGTAGTGCTACACCCAAGACAGTAAGTTTTCCTCATTCTTTTACACTTTCGCAGTTCAGAACATTGCGTGGTGACAGAAAGCCAATGTGAGTGATGATTTAGAATGGTAGGGCATAATAATGTGGAAAAACTTGTGAGCTTAGAATGCTGTAAAAAGTACGTATATCAGTTCTCAAATACCTTTTACTACATTGATTGTGCTCCCCAGGCATTGCTGTACATTAGCAATCCTGAGAATGTGTTACATCCCACAGAATTTCTTATATATGTGCCTTTGAAGTCATTGAAATCAGTGACACAGTAAGGCTAATGATAAAGGTGTAACTAAATGATTGTTAGCAGAAAGTGAAGTCGGTTTGTAGAATGATGCATGTGTGAATAATGCTAAAGGAGACAGGGATTAATACAAAGTGGGGGTTTTGAATATGTGGTTCTCTGCACAAAACATTCCAGTCTAACTGATCTTAAAAAGAAACTTCTTGAGCTTAGTCTTTGAAGCAGGTGTTGTTGGAAGTGTTCTCAATTTAGATGCTATATTTTGATGCATCAGCAGTTGCCTGTTTGAATAAATACACATTAAAACAATGCAGAAAAGGAATTCAAATAGAACTATAATACTTCACTTCTAATATTTTAAAATTCTGTCAATGCAGAAATTCAGAATCTTTAATATTAATAAATTCTGACCAATCTGTGCGTCTTAAAAATTGCGATGGTCTTACGCTATGCCTGTTAGCTGGACCAGAGAAAAACCCTAATTTTACTTACATTCTGAAAAACAGTCTGGTTTCAGATTCATCAGTTGTACCTCTTTGGAACTAAACTTGAACAGGTTTTATCAAGCTATAGCAGCTGTCAGCCTAGTATATTTTTTATATTTTAGTATTTCTGTTTTTTTAAAAAGGTCTAGTTCTTTTCCTAATTATTTTTTTAGTTGAAGGGTATATTGAATAGACAGCAAATGGCTTAGACGTTGTGTCAATTGAAAATATTCCTACAGGGTTTTGTATGTGCTACCCAAATAACAGTGTAACTCCTTGCACATACTAAAATGAGGGAATTGCTTGTTTTAGGGTAACTCGGTAAAACAAGTTGTCTTTCATAGTTCACTTTTTTGCAGTTCTTTATCTTTGGTTGTATAGTTTTGAATGACTAACCAATAGTGGGATTTGTTTTGTTTCGGGTGTGCTGCTTTTTTTTCCTTTGGTACCTTTGCTGAGGGTGCACTTAAACCTGAAAATTTGCCAGAATAACAATTGAGAAGAACTTAGTGTGCATTTTTAATATTTGTTGGCATATTAACACTCTATATGGCATAGGACTAATAAATTTTAGGTAGTCTATGGAACAGAAAGAAAACAGTACAAATAGGTAATTCATGACGTCATAAATTTGCTTCATTTTATGTGAAGTAAAAATGTCAGAAAAGCAGTTTGAAGTAACTTTGAAGCTAGCATTTAACAGCAGTTTCAGTGAAGGATGTCTGCTATACCTACAGCTGTTTTGAATTTCAACATACTGTGCTTATTTTCTTTCAGTTACACATTTGCGTCTGGTTCTCCAGATAATATTAAGCAGTGGAAATTCCCAGATGGAAATTTCATTCAGAACCTGTCTGGTCACAATGCTATTATCAACACACTGGCTGTAAATTCCGATGGTGTTCTGGTCTCAGGAGGTAAAAATGAGAAACAAATGCTTGTATTTCCCCTTTACACTCCTCTACAATGGCTGGAGGTCCTTAGACAAAGATGCTAGCTGAGATGTCCTTTATCTGGGCCTATAAACGTGCTACAGCATACAATTTCATAGTCAGTAGGGCCACTTTTATCTTCTTGGATGTTACCGAGCTGCATGCACAAAAATGTATTTGAAGTTACATTTAATGTGCTGCAGGGAAGAGGTTTCCTCTTCTCACCTGACTGCTTGTGCAGGGCTCCAGATTTCACCTTCTGTGATCTCCTGATGATTAGAATTCCCTCAGGAGTGGTGTGGAAACTGGGAGCTGCCTCAGAGAGCAGCTAAAGAACCTGGTGTCTCTGTTAGTAACAAGTTGATGCAGTGAGAATGGGTAGAGCATATAGAAACATCTTGCCCAGGCTTGCTGTACCATTTAAATGTGAACTCTTCCTTGGTCCTTATGCAGCACAAATGGACTGGTTCTGTTGTCTTAAGGTTTCCTGCACACGTTTTCTGATGTTACTTTGATTGTTCAAAAGATTGATGGCTAATCTCCAAATATTACTGTGAATCAAACCCATGTTTACTTAGCAATATTATGTGTTCAAACGTTCAGAAATTAAGAAACTAGTCCTTTGGCTCCAGTGCTTATGGGAGGATTTTATGTCTATTGTGACACACGGATTTAATTTTTTCATTCAAAAGGTTCCAGAATTTAATAATAATCTGATACATTATTGTTTAGCGGTCTGTGAGCCCCCGACCTCTTGGAGCTATTAGTTTGCTTTCATGTATCTGTGTTGGGGTAGCAGAAGAATCCCAAATGCTTACTGTGTCTGATCATGAATAATTTTATGTCAGAACAGTTACCTCATTGTAGGTAGCATTTTTCTGTATATTAGTTATCCAAGCACTGTTATAGAATTATTTTGTTGGAAGTATGTGTTACTTAAACCGTAGTTTGTGAAATTTGAGTTCTGTGTTTGTACAAGACAAAGTACATACATAGATGTCCAGTTGCCCGCTGGGTTTAAACCATGACAGTAGACTTTCTTTCAAAAAAAGCTTGTCACTAAAAAAGCTTTTAGAAATCCCAATAGGAAGACGGTGTGTTTTTAATGTAGATGTTGTTATAAACAGGGAAGGAATAAACAGTGTGGAAAAAGAAAGTGCTAATTTTACAGCTTGAGAGCTCAGCTCTAGAGTAACAGTTCAGGATTGCATGGGAGTTTAAACCCAAATCTCTGAGGTCCTAGAGCAGTTGCTTAATTACGAGATTGTCCTGGGAGAGCTCTAGCAGAGAAAAGTGAATTAAGAGGCCAGGCTGTGGTGTTCCACATAACTTGCAGAGCATGAGTTTTTATGTCTCAGTTTTGCTTGTCTAATACTTTGGCTAGTTGCGAGCAAGGAGAGGACTCAATTCACAGCATCGCACATGATAGCTTAAGATGCGTTCCATGAGTTTACATGATAGTTACAAAAAAACGTATGTGTGTTTGTAACCAGAGAATAACAAGAAAAGTAACTGAAGCTACACTGTGGAATTAGATTTGGTCCCTGTTGGTCTCATTAGATACAGTATATCCTGTAGGCTAGGGATGTGGATAAGATGGAAATGTGCTAAGCAGGATTTGGAAGATAGCTGATAGTAAGTCACTTTACCCTGATTATGTTTTCAAGCATGTATAAATAAGTTGATGCTGAATTAAAATAAGTTGAGGTTACCTTAGGAACTGTAAAAACACCCTTCTTAGTTTGTTTTGGTTGTTTCGTTTTTTTTTTCTATCTCATAGCTGTGGAGCATTTTTTAATAGATCTGTTTTGGTTAGATAATGCTTTGGGAGGAGAGGTTGTTTTTTGTAACTGAAAAATTCCTTTGAGATCATCCTTGTGAATACAGAGCTCAGATTGCTATGAATACGCTGTAGCTGATGACAGTAGCAGTAATGCTGGCAGTGGTTTGAACTGGATTTGAAATAGAACCTCTGCAAACATTAAGCTATTTCCCATTACCGACTCCTTAATGTCTGTAATCTGTTTGACAGGATGATGTCTGTTCAACTTTAGTTGAGCTACTGAACAAGGAGCTTGATACTGAGAATGCCAGTCCTTGCTGTGCTTCCAAAGCACCTTGCTTCAGTTGCCATGTGATGTAGTGTGTCATCTCTCTGGGTTATCTAATACAAAGCTGGATGAGATTCTGAGGAAGCTTCTATCAGCCTTAAACAAGATCAGCCTTTCTTAACTGAGAAGGAAACTAGTAGAAAATAGGAAACCTTGTAGGCTCTACTGAGCTGTTCTGCGTGAATGTTATAGCTGATGTATTAATTACTTGTTCATGATACTGTTTTTAGAAAACTAGTAGAAATTAACTGGTTAAAAATACTGTTTCTTTGTTTTAGCTGACAATGGTACAATGCATCTTTGGGACTGGAGAACTGGATACAACTTCCAGAGAGTACATGCAGCTGTGCAGCCAGGCTCTTTGGACAGTGAATCAGGAATATTTGCATGTGTGTTTGACCAGTCAGAAAGCAGACTGCTAACTGCTGAAGCTGATAAGACCATCAAAGTATACAAAGAAGATGATACTGCGGTATGTCATAGTGGCTTTTTAATGTTATGCAGATCAATAAGAGACATGCACAGACTTGTGTAATCAATTTTATTGAAGTTTGGAAGCAATATGTTTGCAATAACATTAAGAGGACAGTAGCTAGTTTCTGCACTCCTAATTTTTTATTATATGCTATAGTACAAATAAGTGTCAGGCCTGTCAACTCTTCTGCAGAAGTCCCTTGTGATGAGGCTTGGAGAAATCTTAATACAATGATGCATACTGCATTTTAAAGCCAGTAGGGGACTGTGTGTGTTTGTATTGATTAAAACATGGGAATTTGAAAAAAGATTACATTTGAAAGATTTATTGTACTTCTGTATATGATTTAGATTAGTCATTTGCTTTGGCAATTTCTAGAGTAAATAGTCTATTTTTAAGCTGTTATTCTGAAATCCAGATCCATTTACTAATAGATAAGACAGAAGATTATTATATAGTTTATCAGCGTATGTCTTCGATATAAAGGATATAAGGATTTTCATTAAATCTTAGGATTTTTGCATTGAATTAGACTTGGAACAACTCTTAGGTCTGAAGGAATATGGACTATTTTATCCATTTTGTGACTGGGCAGAATGTAGACTCTGGCATCAGCCAGTACTGATGTTAATATTGCTGGAAGGACTGTCTCTGGAATTCATGTTCTTGTGCTTTGATCACTACAGTGTTGTTCCTGAAATGCCACTGGCAACCTGTTTTTTGTCCGTGTTGCAAAAAAAAAAAAACAAACCCACAGAATAAGTTTTGTCATGTACTTCAGACATTGGGATAAAGTTCCATATGGATAAATTAATTCCATAGTAGATTAGGTAATTACAATGTTACATATGTCATAGAGTATATATGCTATGTGAGTAATTTTAAACTAAACCCTAATTAGAGGTGAATTTTGTGTTAAAAAAAACCTTATGAGATTTTTCTTTTTTTCCTTTAGACTGAAGAAACTCATCCTGTCAGCTGGAAGCCAGAAATTATCAAGAGAAAGCGATTTTAGTGCAGCAGGATACTTATACTATAATTTTGTTTTGGCTTTCCTGAGAGCATTCAGTCACATTTTGCTCTGTCTAGAACAGCAGAGCAGGAAGTCAGCTAAGTCATTGCTATTTCAACATGTTTTATAATAAATCTTATTTCTCTTCCCTTTTGTATTTTTTTTTGTTTTGGTGTGATCCCAGCAAACCACTTGCAGCTGTTAACTTTCTTTCTGTGGAGCATGTATAGTTCATGAAAAGGATAGGTGTGCAGGTGGTTACTTTTTTGTATGAATCTGCTGAGTGTAGGTCTAAACATATTTTGATGAGCCAGGTTTTCTAAAAGACCTTTACTTGACTCCAGAAGTTAATTGCAAGTTCATGCATAGAAGCCATGTACTGGGAATTTGTTGATTGACACTTTTAGATTTTAGACCAGTATAGCTTAGTGTACATATGCTAATTGTATACTGCAATGAAACGGTATATATACTAAATTACAGAGTAACTGTAATCAAGAAAGGAGGAGGACAGTATAATAATGATGTAGTTTACCTTATAAACTCAGCCACTGAGCATTGCCAGTGCTGTATTATTGAATGAAATAGATCTTCAAAGTGTTTCTTTCCTTAGGAAAGCTTTCATATGCAACTACTCATTTCATTTCAGAGTGGACCTCCTATAGGAAGTACCACTGTCAAATCATACTGTTCACCATCGCCATAGTGTTAGGACCAGTTGACTTTCTTTGTAAACCACCTGTTTGGTTTTTTCAGTTATCTAAAGTATATATGACATTAGAGTACAGTTAACCTTTAAAACTGAGGTCTAAGAGGAAAAGCTCTTAAGTCATTCCAGCCTTAATTTTACATGTTGCTGTCTCCCCATGATCTTCTGAAGGAATTTAAAATATTTCTGAAAGATAATTTGTCCTCCTGAAGGGACAAATCTTTCATTGTGTTTACAAACAGTCACATAACATGCAGTAAACATAAAAGCCTCCTTGCTACAACTTTTCTGTGATGTATGTGATGCTCTGAAGCGCTTTCTATTCATGGGGGAGAGAAGTGTTAAAGCCATCAAGCCATCCAGTTGTTGGCAACTTTGCTAGCAGTTTTAATAGGTGCAGCAGCAAGTTTCATGCTGGGTAGGTCCTGAGAATTGTTCTGTGGCCGCAGCATTGATAGCAAGGAGTTCATAATAATTATTTCTGTTCTCTGTCAGTCTGACTTTTTTCAAGCCTGGAATTAATGTTGGAGAAATGACAGTTACTTGCAATGTAACTTACAAAAAGCTAGTAAAACTAGGTGTTGCTTAAATTACGAGAATTTTTGTCTTTTTTTTATGGTACTCAGGAAGTCTTCTACTTATAATTTGAATGTTTGACAATATCATTTTAAGGGATTCCATGCTGCATAAATACCTGATTTTTGGTTGACAGCTATTGTCTGAAGCATCTTTACAAAAGAGAGAGGGCCGTATTTGGTATTACAAGTTGGATTAAACATCTTTTATTTTGATAATTTGATTTTTTTCTAGATCTTTATTACAGCTGTTATGATGTTAACTAACGTAACAGGGGAAAACACAGATTGTGACTTAGATGTATTTTGTATTACTGCTAATACTTCGTTCCAGAAACCGTTGAATTATTGGTATTACACAAAAGTTTCTTGCTCACAGTGAAATCCCCTGAAGGTAACCAGAGTGGAGAGGAAGAGAGGAATAATGCACTTGAAAAGGGGTGGGATTGTGGGCGGGATTGTTGTGAGGTTTTTTGGTTTTGGGGGGAGTTGTTTTGTTGGAGTTTTTTTTAGTGTCTATTTCTTGTGACAATTTGGAGTCAGGAAGGGGAAATCAGAGATTTTGGCTTACAGTTCCAGCACATCTCTTCTCCTTTAAAAACTGCATTTATTCCACTATCACTTTGAAGATCGATCAGAAAGTCTCCTGCAGAACCTGTGCACAGGGTAAATATTTGGCTTGCAGAAAAGGCTACTCACTATTATTTAGAATAACACTTTTCCTTTTTGGTTCTATAATATGTTGTTCCAGTTCTAAATGTCTTTTTTCTTTAAAATTGTATTCTTTAACATTTGATTTGCATGTTCATTTCCATCCCAACAGTGTTTTTCTTCCGCTTGACAGTAATGTGAATAGCATCACGTATGTAGTATTCATGACATGTCTAAATTATTGGATTTCATTTAAGTTCTTCTCTAGTGCAAAGTGTGCCTGAATTTATACACATATATCTGTTTGTGGAGGATACACAGTGATATTAGATTTGTCCGTGTAAGTCACAAGGTAAAGCAAAATAGGAGGGTCTGGTCCACTGGATGTATTGTCCATGATTCTGGAAAGCGTCGCACTGCAATGTCAGTTAATAGGAGCCTAATCTCAGAAAACAATTGTAATTTATTTCATAAAATTTTGTTATCTTCTGTATATGATTAAATCATACACATTTCTACCACAAACCCTGAGTTTTGTTTTATACTCTACATAATTGCAGAGAAGAAAATGGTTTTTTTTTGTTTGTTTGTAACATAATTCAAAAAAGTGTAACTGGTAAAATTGAGAGTTTTTAAGATCACTCTTTGCTGTATACTGAAGCTTACAATGTAAACTATGGAGCTAGAATGCTGCCATTTGCTGGCAGCATGAAAATTGTGCAGAACGGTATGTGTTTGGCACCTTAAAGACCTACAGAAGTAAATCTTTAATAGCCAATTTCTTTTTAGTCCTGTTAGATAAAAATTAAAAGCGCTATGCCGGATTTAAGTGACAGCAGTTTAGCCATCAATAAAGCCTTCAATACAATATGATGTCTTTTTTTTTTTTTTCTATTTGGGGTTTTGTAGCTAGAAGAACGGAAAATAACTGTGTATTGAAAGTTAAAGTTATTTAGAATTAAAATGGATTGTTTCCCACAGTACAGTAACAAATACTCTTGCAGATCAGCTGTAATGGAGAGAAAGCATTGCTAGCTATTTTATGCACAGCTTCCTATTTGCATGAAAGGATTAGCAAAACAAATGCAGTATTGTTCATTAATTTTTCTCTATCGTGTTTAATTTTGGTATGTTTATGGGGAACAAATTAAAGGGGTATTTCTGTCTGTGGCACATAACCGAAAATTTTGTTGCAGTGAAATCAATGGGAGCTTAGCATTAATTTTGACTTTTTTTTCTTTTTTTTTCAAGTCAAGATTTCACTCAGTGGGGTGCTTTGGTTTTGATTTTGTTGTTTTCAAGTGAGTTGGAGAAACCATCAAGTCTGGCACATCATGTATGTAAGTACCCGCACAAGGTGCAGGGTTTTCATTTGTGCACAAGATGCATCATTCTTTTTTAGGTGGGGCTTCAAAATTATTAGTATACCAAAGAAAATGGTGAGGATTTGGAAACTGATGAATGCTGATAAGCCTGATCAGCTGAAAAAATGTCAGTTTGCAATTTTTCTGTAAATTTAATACTAGATTAGCAGGCCTTGAAACTAGTGTAAATATGACTTTCTGTGGAAGCTGTTCCATAAGCAGAATATGCAGGTGGTGAATCACTTCATTTCTTTGAAAGCAGGCAAACAGCTAAAATGAGCTTGGAGGCTGCATGAAGAGGGAGAAACGCTTCTTGACTTTTTTTTTTGTCTGTGGTTTGAAAACTTGGCAGACAGGGAGCTGAATTTCACTGGTGGTCATTTGGGTCACTTCTGGAAAACTCCATCTGATGCTACTTTAATGGCAGCAGCTAAGAAGCAGCTTTCTGGCTTAGTAGGACAGAAGCTGTCTGAAAACTGGCAAAAAAATGTTGAATGAAAAATGCATGGCCATCCCCGTCTAAAGATGATTCTTCCAAGAAAAGTATCAGCATTTTTCAAGTCGGTATCAGTACAAACACAAATTTTGATGTTGGAGATTACTTGAGAGGTTGTCCAGTAAAATGATCTAATCGGCATAATTTTCACATTAATTAGTATCTATTTACAAATTCCTGTGAAGCAATGCTTGGGTATTTTTAAGGATGTGTGGAAAACTCCATGGGATTTGCTTTAAATGGGAACTGTGAAGTTTCTAGGTGTGGATTTGCTTTTTTCAAAACATTCACTTGAAAATCTTTTCCATTATTTTGACTTTAGGGATTTGCAGGGTCAGCCCTTAGGTGTTAACTAGTTTCCTATTGCTGCTTGCATTGAAACTGTAATATTAGCTTTGTAGGGTTTAGTTTTGAACTTTAAAGTCAGTAACATTATAACTTCCTTCAGGTGCATGTTGTCACCAGGCTTTTGATAGTCTTTCTTTAGGTTTTTGTTTTGAATATAATAAGTACACAAGCCTCAAATGTGTATCTGAAGCATGGATTAATTGGGGCACTTTCCTGCAAATTAGACCTCAACAGTACACACAATAACTGAGCTAATTGTCTTCAGGTAAGGAAGACTGAAATCACTGACAAGAAAACTACAGCTGAAAATGAGAAATCTTAAGCTTGCACAGGCTTGGAAAAACTTTATGCTGCTGGGGTTTTTATTTTCTTGAAAAAAAAAACACACCTTGCACTTGTGCTTGAGAAGTGCAGGTAATGTACGTGGAACACTTGTTTCTACCAACCCTTTTTGCTTTATTTTTAGGGAGAGTAAGTGTCCCTGTAAGACACTTCACCTTTACTCCTTCTGCTGCAGGAAAAGCTCTTCAGCTTTTTTTTGGATGCTGCAAATGTTTGAGGATTTGTTTGGGTTTTCTTTTCAGCTGATGCATTGCTAGGAGGAGGGCTGAAGGGTTAAGCCCTCCAGAGCAAGGAAAAATCAATGCAAGATCAATATGAATTATGGATACCAAGGGCTACACCTAGAGAAGAGAGAGACCTCCTAGAGACCCAATAAGAAAGAGCTGTAATTAATGGAAATCTCTCAGGGAGGTGAAAAGGACAGTGGAAAAACAGAGTAGAGGAGACCAGAGCTATGACATCTGAAAGAAAGTGTTTGAAAACATGCTGCATTTACCTGTCAGGCTGGAGGAAAGGAGATATTTCTGGATTAGATGAATGCTGTACGGGTATAAATGAAGGAATGGGAGAGAACAGTGTGCTAGTGTGGGCGCAGGCAGTGGTGAAAGTGAAAACGTGAGCACCTGAATGCAAATTCATTTGACAGCAACTTACAAATGCATT